TCACCCGCTGGCTTAAAACTGCCACAGAAATGCCCTCACCCGCTGGCTTAAAACTGCCACCGAAATGTCCTCACCCGCGGAAATAAAACTGCCATCTAACGGCCTGGTGGTTCAGTTCAGTCTGTCTACCTCGCGAAAATCAAATTACGGGCTGCGCCCGTAAATCAATACAAAGTCCCCGATTTTTCCTCTCAGCATGGCTTGCCTTGTCGCCGACGGTGCGAAATATGTCGCAGGAGTGGGACGCGGCGCACATCGCGCGCGGACGTCCATGCGGGCTGCGGGCCCTCCCATCCTGACTGTAAGAACAACAGTACAGAGTTGCCGTTTTTCCTTTCATCATGGCCTGTCTTGTCGTTGACGATGCGAAATGCGTAGCAGGAATGGGGCGCGGCGCACATCGCGCGCGGACGTCAATGCGGTGTCCTGGGGTATCCTCCACTCGCACTGAAATGCCCGCGCAGCCCCCAGTTGTGCCATCACTGTTTCTTATGCTGTGGGAGGGCGGGTGGGAATGGGCATGCCATGCTTGACTCGCTCGAGCTGGCTAGCTTGACCCACACCCACACCCACACCCACACCCACACCCACACCCACACACACCCACACACACCACACACACACAACACACACACACACCCTGGCTTGTTGCGCCCGACTGCCGCGGCAGCCGGAGGCCCGGGAGGAGAGGGCTGACCAGGGCCACCTGCCCGGGACTCGCGAGCGCCAGGCGCCAGGCCCGCAGCGGCCCACCCGCCGCGCGAGCAGGGACGGAGCGCAGCGCGCGCTGGGCCCCACGCCCACGTCGATGACGAAGAAGACAGGACGAGGATAACGTCAGGGGCGAATACAGATCGAGCATCTCTGAGAGCTGGCGGCTCTGGAGGTCTGGAGGCTGACTGGGGCGCCGCGGCCTTCTCCCAGAGCGTTCTGGGAAGCTCTGAGCCTTCCAGCAAGCTCAAGAACGGATTGACCCTCGTCCTAGCCTGAGGTCGCCTACAGGCGGATCTGGGAAGACAAATGGAACAATCAGAAACAATCAGCAATCATCAAAAGAGCTCGAGAATCGGCACCAGACGATGTTCTACCATTCTTGAGTGATCCTGCTGTAAGCGGCCATGCCCGACTGAATCCCAGCCCCGTCCGTCACGTGGACTGAAGGGGCCCTGGGACACACAGAGAGATACACACAAACAAGAGGATTCCCCATCTTCTCCAACACCTTCTCTGCTTTTGTCTTCCCCCCCACTCCCCATATGTTCCTATACTCTCCTGCGGGTCGACGACCAGCTGTGTCTGTGTGTTTTTTCCCCTCCCGACGGAGGACGGCTCCGTGGCTCTGTGGCGCATGGGCACCCGGGGGCCCACGGAGCGGGGCGCAGGGGGAGAGAGGCGGGCGAGAGGGCCCTGGCGGCCCTCCTCGGGAGCGGCCAAAGAGGGGGGGGCGTCCATATGTTCCTATACTCTCCTGCGGGTCGACGACCAGCTGTGTCTGTGTGTTTTTTCCCCTCCCGACGGAGGACGGCTCCGTGGCTCTGTGGCGCATGGGCACCCGGGGGCCCACGGAGCGGGGCGCAGGGGGAGAGAGGCGGGCGAGAGGGCCCTGGCGGCCCTCCTCGGGAGCGGCCAAAGAGGGGGGGGCGTCCAAGGCGGGGGGGGGTGCATCTCTCGTCTCCTCCTCTCCGCCTCCTCCTCCTCCTCCTCCTCCTCCACCTCCTCCTCCACCTCCTCCTCCTCCTCCTCCTCCTCCTCCTCCTCCTCCTCCTCCTCCTCCTCCCCCTCCTCCCAGCGGCATGTGCGCGGCCCCGCGGAGGGGGGCCAGCGGACGCGGTGAAATAAGAAGAGGCGCCATGGGATCCGGGGAGATCTCATGGCCCCCGCCGTGATCTCCCCCCCCAACCCCCCAGTCATCACCCCCCTCCTGGCCGCCCCCGACCTCGGTGCAGACGAGTCCGCCCCAGCACGACGCCGGGCCACGCGCATCGCTCCCATGGTGCCCTCGCGGGTCGCTGCCGCGTCGGAGCCGTCGCCCAGCGCGCCGCTCGGCGTGTGCGTGGTGCCACGGGTGCCGCTCCGTGCCACGCTCGCGTGGGTCCATGGCGGATGCGTGGGTCTGGCGCGGAGCCCCCAGGAGGTGCAACCTCTGATCCCGGACGTCCTGCGTGAATCTGTTTCTCCACGTGGGTATCCGAGGCTGTGCCTCCTCTCGGCCTCGCTCTGAGGCTCCGCCGCTTCCTCCCTCCTCTTCTCTGCCTAATTCGAGCTTCGCGGGGCCCGCTTGGCTTCGACCGGAAGAGGTGCGCTCTCGACCCGCGGATCAAGAAAGTTCCTCAACGTGGCTCCCCAAAAAGTCTGGACCCCCTCCCTGGGATCAGCTTCTCATCCTGCCTCGTTCCCTGACGGCCCTGGGGCCCGGTGAGGGGCCCCGGAGGCCCAGAGTGACCCAGGGCCCTCCGACGCTGGCAGGTCAGGCACGGGGGTCTGGCGACCCCGATCCCCGACTTCGTGAGGCTTTCCAGCGTGGCGGAAATTCGATGCCAAACTCAGGGATGTGCGAAAGGGGGGCGTCCATCTTCGACAAGGGCTCGCCCAGGGCTATCCTCTTGGGCGTGGAGTAATAGGGGGGGTCATACACGGGGGGGTCAGAAACGGTCCCCTTTCGTGCCCCTCCAGAGCCCCAGGGGGCTCGTTTGGGTACCCTTTGGGTACCTGTTCGGACCACCCTCGCCACCCCCCACTTAAGACCCCCCCCTTACGCAACGCCCAATCCTTGAGATTCCCCCCCTTCCGGAGGGCCTCATCTGTCTGGCGGACCTCGGGGATCGGGGGCGAGGCATCGTCCGCGCGCGCGGAACGCCCGATCAGAGCAGGTCGGGGCGAAGCGCAGGGAGCCGGTGTCGCCTCGCGTGGCGACGGAGCGCGCCGATGATGCGTGGAAGCAAGACGCGTCGCAGATCCGCGCGCCTTCATCCTCGTTTACTCCAAAGCCCGTATTTGTCGTCCTCCGGGTCCGGTTTTTAACTAGGGCGCCGTTGTTGCAAGTGGAGGGGTCCGGCTTATCAGGGCGCTTCCTGTGGATTGGAGCTTCGGGGGTCCGGTTCACGAGAGCGCCCCGTCGAAGAGGGGGGTCCGGAGGATGAGGTCGCAGCTGGGGGGGGTCCAGCTTTTCAGGGGGGGTCGATGAATGAGGAATTTGGAGTAATCCACGCGCCTTTCTCCACGTTTGCACGCCAGTCGGAAGAAGTAGGTAGAAGCATGAAGTAGGAAGGCGGATATAGTAGAGTGGATGTAGTGGATGAAGAAACAAACACAGCAAAAGCATGCCGATCCTTGAAGCAGGAGGGCGCTTGAAATAGATTGGGATCTGGGAGTCCAAGAATGCCTACTTCCAACGACCGGCGTGAAAATGGGGGTCCGGAGTATGAGGTCGCAGTTGGAGGGGGGTCCAGCTTAGCTTTTCAGGGGGGGTCGATTAAAGAGGGATTTCAGGGGGTCCGGTTTTTTTTAATTTTTTTTAAAGAGTAGGCTAGGTTTTAAGGGGTCTGGTTTTTTTAAGGGGCATCGATGCTGAAGAAGGCATTTCAGGGGTGCGGTCTTCTAGGAGGTCCGGTTTTTTGAGGGGGGGGGTGGAGCGTGTTTCCTCTGGGCGCGCGGCGGCGGCGCGGGCCAGGGATCCAGGGCAAGGGCCCCCCCCCCCCCCC